GTCCTCTACAATCTCCTTCTCCTGCCATTTTTTAAATGGATTCAGCTTCTTCATTTTTAGGGCCTAAGGTCCTGAAATTTGGTATGGAGGTACAGTGGGCAAATACCCCTAAGCGTTTTTTAAAATTTTGTGATACAGGCTTTTAGAATGGTTTTATTTGAGTTTTTTGGCTGTGTTATAGCAAATGTATTACTGTGTTAGTGTGCCGTGTTTACCACGTCTGGGCATGAGTCATCACAATGGAATGCAGGGCATCAACCAATAGGCATGCAGCTTTCCTCTATACTTCTTGCTGATTGGCTGTTGGGATTTAACTTGATTAACACCTGCACAGAGCATTTCCACCTGCACAGAGCATTTCTTGCTGATTGGCTGTTGGGATTTAACTTGATTAACACCTGCACAGAGCATTTCCATACTGACAGTATGTCTTTATTCAAGTGTTTTGGTAGGTATTTCAAGCTTTTCTGCTCCAGCATTGGAATGCGGGGCATGAACGTTTTTTTTTTTGAAAATCAACAGGATTTTTAATTATGCAATTAAAAATCCTAACCAATAAAGTAGGGAATAGCTATCCAACTGTTGTTTTAGTTGTATGTTACTTCATATTATACGTAGTTATATCAATGTAAATCATTGTTTTCCCTTGTGTTTCTCATTCTTTCCCTGCCATGTCGTAAAATGTGGTGAACCCATCGCTGTATTTGCTCCAAAGCAAATATTGGCCTTTCTAGTTAGTGACTATACCTTCAGTTCCCGAGTATCCCCCCACAGTCAGCCTGTACTTGTTCCATTCGTTCTCCACCCTGAAGTTGCTGTATTTGGCGAAGACCGAGTTTCCCTCGAAGTCTTCCAGGTCCACCCTAAGTTCGTACCATCCTTGTGTCGTCAGGCGGTGTAGGTTGTCATTACCTGTGGAGATGGATGGAGTAGTGTTAGCGCCTTTTTTTTAGTTTCTTAAGATACTGTGTAGAAATCACAATCTCTACATTGCATAACACAGGATACAAAAAGTTAACCAACCACCTACCCAGCCAGAATTCTCCTGTCAGATCCCCGAACCCCGCCTTGTACTCCTGCCAGCCCAGGAAGAATTCTACCGAACCGTCCTTCCGCCTTTGGAACACCTGAGAGATAGACGGGTTGTTTTGCGTTTGAAAATTGTCCTTTATTTATCATTACCAAGTGTACTCCCGTATTTGCAATGTGAATGTTTACACTATTTGTGATTGGTGCTTTTTAGTTTTAACACCTCTGAAAGATTTAGGGTTCTTCATGTGTATATTTTGAAACTATTTTCCATTTATAACATACCACCCATCCTCCCCCGTCGGTGTCCATGTCACAGTAGACCCGGATGGGACTTGTGACGTCTCCGGCTGGATAGATGGTGTAGACTCCACTCGTATTGTGGCCGCTGTTGAGTAGGTCCATGCAGGTCCGAGGGACAGTCACCCTGTCTGTGAAGATAAATCAAAACTAACAGTTAACAAAGTGAAAAGCTATATTTACAATGGATTATATTTACAATGACCTGAAGACACCTACATTCTACATATGTACTTTATCTCTCTTTGATCTAAGTCTTGCTAATCTGATTAAATTTGTATAAATTGATACTGTTCCTTCTATAAATGCGTGTGCGTACCTTCCAGCTGCTGCAGCTCTGTGGTACATTGTTGTAAAGTTGTCGCATGTTGCTGAAGGGTTGCCTCCTGTTGCTGTAGGGTTGCTTCCTGTTGCTGCAAGGTTGCGGCCTGTTGCTGCAGCGTGCTGGCCTGTTGTTGATTGGTGGTTTGCAGTTGCTGTAGGGTTGCTTCCTGTTGCTGCAAGGTTGCGGCCTGTTGCTGCAGACTACTGGCCTGTTGTTGATTGGTGGTTTGCAGTTGCTGCAGGGTTGCTTCCTGTTGCTGCAAGGTTGCGTTTTGATGCTGTAGCGTGCTGGCTTGTTGCTGATTGGTGGTCTCCAGTTGCTGTAGGCTGCTGGCCTGTTGCTGATTGGTGGTCTCCAGTTGCTGCAGAGTTCCCTCCATCTGCTGTAAGGCTGCAGACTGCTGTTGGATGATGATGTCCTGGTTGCTGACTGTCGCCTGAAGTGCCTCGACGGTGGTATTCAAGCCATTTCCAACCTGAAACTTTATTTCAAATGTCGTTCGTAAGCTTGGATTAAAATCAAGAGTTCCGAGATCTCATACCTCCATGAAATATTTGCTTTACATGTAAATGTAAATTTCTTCTTTGATTATGCAAATGACCTCTACATTTACATAATATTTGCATCGTGATGTTAACTTTTGATTAACTTACACATGTCCCAAGTATGAAATTCCCATCATTTACTAAGGAGTTATAGAATTTTCAAATTAATTATGCAAATTAGGTCCGTATTTGCGTAATTGGTATCTGGTGATATTCCACCTGCCATAGATTATTAACATTGCATGTACCAAAGTCCCATGATTTAAAAGTCTGGAATTACAGACTTTCCTCATTAATTATGCAAATAAAGTCATCATGTGCATGATTTGCATCCAATAATGAAGATATCTGTCTAAGCTAACCACATACCAAAAATCATAAAAATATATTGTTCCTTTGTGAATGTATCTGCTCTGAAAGGTTTCGCCAGACCCCCCCCCCCCCTGCAGTTCCAGAACAAGCTGGTATGGGGACCAAACCCACGCCACTTATTACTCAGGAAGAGCTATCAACCACTCAAAAATCAAGACCATAGCATGTCCAGGACAAAAGATACAAAACCCGGACGTTTTGCTGGAGTGCCAAGGTCAGCCACCAGGAGGCCCAAAATCGACCTTGACCTTTGGCTACCCAAAACCTATCCACACGATTAGAATCCATCCAAAGATTTAAAAGTTATGCTGGCCGCAAATGTCCGGAAACACAAACACACAGACACAGACACACACACACACAGAGACAGACACACACACACAGAGACAGACACACACACACACACACACAGACACACAGACACACCAAAAACAATACTTCCATTTTTCATGGAGGTAATTAGACGTTGTTTCCAGTGCAACTGATGCACGGTAGTTCCATTTTTGGCTTTGCATATAAACACTGTCATGGCAAAATAATATGCTCCTAGTCTTGTTTGTGTCAATAATGTCTTGTGACATTGTGCAAACGATCAAGAATCCACTTCGTCTAACCGTAATTTCAATAGCTCTATAACAATGCTTACTTCAGCGAGTTGTTGCAGCTGTCCATCCAGGCTGTCTGTCCTGTTCTTCAGCTGTTCCAGCTGTTCCCCCAGGCTGTCCTGTGCGCTCAGGTACAACAGGAGCTGGTCCAGAGCCGGGCAGGACGGGGTGGGCTGGGCCGGATACTTCCTTCCCTTCCGCCGCTGTCTCCTGGTGGAGAATCTCGGGGAGGTTCTTGACGTTCGCTGCAGCTCCGCGATGCAGGAGCGCGAGGAGAGTCAGAAGCACCGCCGTACTCATGGTGTAGCGTCGGGTTAGAACTGGGTGGTGTGAGCCGTGTGGGGCATTTATGAAGCACTTTGTTGACCAAAGAACAAAGATGCTTGCCCATCGCACATTCTTGCCCGGTGGATTACTAGCCTAAGTGTTTCTGTAGTGCACTTGTAAGTGTTGAGTGCTAACGGTTCTATAAAAATCAAAATCTCTTTGTTTGATGTACTAGTGCGTTCACCAGGATGACACATGTTTTTATCCTAACATTTCATGACTAGACATAGTGACGACACACGAGTTTTTTTCAACTCATTTTTAACCGCCACCAACACAAAGGACAAATACAGGACAGAACGATACTCATGTTTACCTAAACTAAGTGAGGAAAGTCGTGTAAAGTTCCTTTCCGAAGGGTACAAGATCGGTGACATGTCAGGACTTGAACCCCGGACCTCTTAGTTCTGAGTCAAGCACTCTTCCGTTCCTCAACAGGGCCCAATAAAAGTTGCCGAAGTAATGACTGATTGATCATGATATCAGGTCGTACGTGGTTAAGAGCCATTGTAATTCGGTGAAGGACTGCTTTACTGTTTTATTGTTACTATAACTCAAACCCTTTTCATGCAGATTACAAAGCAACTGAGGAACCACCATATATATAAGAGACGTGATGGTTTTTCTATATAGTTTCCAATAATGAAGTGAAGACAATTTTAAATCTATAGGAAACAAAAACAAACCTAAACCAAGAAAAATTAGTTTTAAGTAATCCGTTAACTCCTTTTGTTTGTTATAAACAAAAGGTGAAAGTAGAACATGATATAGGAATCCTTTATGTGCGGAAAGTTTTGGAATTGTGGCGATGCTCAGAGTAGGCAGCAAGTAAATGAATAAGAACCAGAATTTTGTCTGATGTCTAATTTGTCAACAAATTGTGAACATTTTTTGGTCACCATGTGGCTATTTTATATATACTTTTCTGAGTAAGAAATTGCTTGTACCGAATAAATAGCAAAGTCCTTTGATCACAACCATTTATTTTTCACGAGCCGACGTTTCGCACTGTGCACTGTAAACCAAGTAACAGTGCACTGTGAACCACGTAACACCTTTAGTGCACTATGCACCAAGTAACATCTAGCGTCAGTGTACAGTAAACCAGTCAGAATTGCCCTGATGAAGATGACAGACGGTCATCGAAATGTCGGCTCGTGAAAAATTAATGGTTGTGATCAAAGAACTTTGCTATTCATTCGTTTACCAACCTGATGAATTATTTACGGATGGAATTGCTTCTACCTTCTGCATCTTTTACTTTTAGACACAAGTGATACGTATGGAAGCTTTTTCTTGAAATGATGTGACATATTTTCTTCTGTGGAAGGGAAGGGACAGATCTGATGTAGGAAGGGACAGATCCAGATCTTACAAATAGTGTATTTCAATGAGGTTGTGTTGAATATTGGACCCATAACTGTGCACGTCTGAAGCATAAACATTCACGTCAAATTACTACTAAACCTTATATTGAGACTTTTATTCCACACAGCATTGACATTTATTATAAGGCAATCATTTGTAACAGCCATTGCATGCTGACCAATGACATTGGATTATGAAACGTTTTTGAATGTTTTGTCCTCCACACATATCTAGTCAACAGGTAAATGGACTATTTGGGATACGTGCATTCACAAGAAACGATATTCAACTTGTGCAGAATAAAACATCATAACGACTTATTCATATTATTGTTCAAAGGTGAAAAAATATAAACACAGAACACAAACACACCCACACAGGAAGACGAAAACAAAAAGCTATAACTAGTAAACTGATTAATAATATAATAAATGAGTCGTCTCATCCGTTGAATATTCTTCTTTCATTAACAAATCATTTCCTTTGATAAGCCTTTCCATAATCAATTTTCAGTTTAATGTCAAAAATTTGAGATAATTTTCCAGTTAACGTTATTGCTAAACCTAAAATTGTCCCTATGCTTTAATATATTGTATAAACTGGCAGGGAGATGTTGGTATACTTTAAAGAAAGAATCTGTTTCTTTTCAAAACGATTCACATGAAACATCTTGTAGTTTAACCAAGACAGAGATGACTTAAGGTAAGCTAAATCTCAACAGATAATGTCTTGAGACAATGATGTTGAGATGCTGAGTTAGTTAGAATGATAGTTTTGCTTCTAATGCATTTACATTGGGTGTTTAGACTCCCACTTGAAGTAACCACTGAAAACCACTGCGGTATAACTCTAATGCTACACTAATCATTTTTGTCATCCTGGTCCAACATCCCCTCGGCATGGCGACTTCCGGCACCATCGCTCTTCTTCCTGTCCTCCAGCGGCAGATCTCCCACCTTGATTTTGGTGACATTGTGTGGTTTGACGCGCCACACAGCGACTCCGATCAGAGCTGCAGCGGCGACGACTGCCCCCACAGACAGCAGCGCGATGTAAGCGGGCTGTTCGTACCAGCTGGACCCTTGTTGGTCCGCCACTGGGGAAGAATATAGCACATACATTAGAAGCCGACTACAATCATCAACCATAACTATCGGTGCGTTTGTTCACTCTACTTTTAAATTTTGCATCCAATTCGGACGTTGCCATACCTACGAATCTATCTTTTACAGTTCAACGTGCCAAGATGGCGCTACAAGGTACCTCCAGTGTCCTGAGTGCAGTTCTTTCCGTCTCCCGTCATGCCTTGCGGACAGTCCCCACACTCATGTCCACCTGGTACATCTGTACACGTCACTTCCGGGTAGCACGGCTGGGAGGAACAGCCTGGGGAAGGATAAAATAAAGGAAGACAGATGTTTGCGCTAATTCCCACACTAAATCCCACACCAAGACTGTAACAATCAGAATTGATGGCTTTTTGATATTAAACCACTTTTAGAGAATATGCGCAACAAGACTCTTGTCGAGTCTTTTTTCTACCTAACTATGTTAACATGTTAACACATTCACATAGAGTCACCCGGACATTTTGTTTCACTTGACACTAAGGATTTTAGACACTGAACAAGACTATTTCTTGAGAGGGGTGAAGGAAGCCATTTACATCAGGGCCCATCACCCTACAGTGAACCGCGACGGGGGCCAACATCGTCTACCAGATACCTTTGACCCAGTGTTGACGTCACAATTCAAAGAAGCCACGTGACAAGCTTCTCTGGGTCAGTCTACTGAGGAAGACCAGAGTGACTGGTCAAAAGCTCTAGGTGAGAGAATTTTTGTGTTGGACCAAAAGTCTTAACTTTAAACATGTAACTACCAACACAGATGAACTTTCATGATGTTAACATGCTGTGTACCATTTAAACGAACGAATCATTTAGAGCACATCACTACTCACCAATTACTTGGACACAGCTGACTCCATCACCAGTCATCCCGGCAGGACAGGGTCCGCAGCTGTACACGTCATCAACTACGTCACAGGTGACGTCAGCATAGCATGGGTTGGGCGAGCACGGGTCCAGGGGGACTGGGGAGGGAAGATGGAGTTTTGAAAATGTGCCAGGATTGTAAATGAAATTCGCCTAATGAAAGCTTGCTACCTGTAGGTATTGGCTTAAACCTCAAAAATTGATACATCATTAATATATGCGTGAATGTTGTCTTTTTAAATAGAGAAATCGTTAAGATTTCAGAACAATTTGAAAATTTGAGCACAAATCAAAGTAAAATATCGTGAGATCTACAAAATTCAGCACTTGACGTTGATACTTACTTTCAATGACCACACAAGCCGACCCCTCAGGACAGATGGTACACTGGATGGCGCCGGGGATGTCTGCGCATGTCCCGTTGTCAGGGCAAGGGTTGGAGAAACATGGCGTCTCCTGGTCACACAGAGGACCTAAAGGAAGGGACAATATTGAATGTAAATTTTGTTGGGTTTTTGTATACACGATGTTTATAATGCATCAATTGCACTTAAGAATCACTTCTAAGAAATACTCTGGGGATCTCTGATGAGTGTTTGCCCTACCTGTGTAATACTGCTCACAGTCGCACTGGAACCCGCCGACGGTGTTGTTACAGACTCCATGGACACACGGGCTGTCCGCACACTCGTCCACATCCACGTCACACATCTGACCCGTGAAGCCGGTACCGTTACAGCTGCAGTTGATGTTATCAGGACTGTCCAGCGCGAAGGAAGGACACATGCCGCCATTCTGACACGGACAGTCACGGGCGATGACAGTGAAAGATTCTGTAGAACTCGCACCACACTCGTCAGCAGCTGTGACGTTGACGATGATGGTTGTGTTTAGTTTGGGTGTCCAGTTCAGCAGACCATCGCTGGACAGGGACAGGTCAGGATCTGGTGAGGCTCCCACCAGTGAGTAGCTCAGGTAGGGGTGGTTTTCCGGGTCCGCTGCCTTGACTGTGAAGTTCAGCTGATGGTTGATGAAGGCAATGATGTCGCCGGTAGGTTCAAAGACGGGCGGTGCATTATCTGTGGAAACAAACAGATCGGCTATAATAGAACAGATAGAACAACTCTAGCAATTACATGACAATTCTAGAACTCCATCCCAAGTCGTTAGATAGCCCGATATAAATGGCTATATGGCAAAGGATTTTACAACATTTGACAACATCATAATCGCCGCCGTCACGATTGCTTTCCACATTCTACAACAGGCTAAGGTGTGAGCCAGCTTTTCAAAACTTGTGAACTATTAATTGATATTGCTTGTTAAACATGTCATTTTTTGTGTTTCAAATGAAGTAGCCTAAAGACGTCGATATTAATAGACAAGACCGCAAGACTCACCAAGCCTGTCGCTCCATGCTGACACGTTGACTGACGGGACACACTGTTTGCACCAGTTGCCGATCTGTGTGTCTCCACTGGAATAGCAAGTCCCGTCTATCTCACAGGAGTTGTTCTGTGAATAAATAGTTATTAAATGTAAATAGAAGGAAACACTTTGTATAGAGGTGTATTTCTACTGTAATATTATTGATAAGAACGTACATGTATGTAGAAGTAGCTAAGTAGCCTGCAAAACGTAGAAGCTTACCCTGAGAACACAGAATCCGGTGACGTTGCAGTCCTGACAGACGGCGTCATACGTGATGAGCAGGACCGGCGGGCTGAAGCGCACACCGTCGTTACTGATGGAGACGAGCGTCGCCTCGGCTGTTGTCCTGTGTCCGGCTGCCGTACTCCGCCGAGATATCGATGGCGGAAGGGGGCAGATAACGCGAGAGTCATCTTCAAACGTGGCTGGAACGGTGATGTTTTCGACAGGAAGAGGATGTACGCCGTTTTCGTCAATCTAAACAAAATAATGTGAAAAGACAAAAACGATTTTTTTCGATATTGTCAAATACCAAATAATACATGACTGTTTCAATCGTCACCTTCACAAATATCTAACCTGTGCTGTTTGTAAAGAACACGTCAAGTTTTCTGATTGCAAGAAGTCCCTCCCGATAACAGGGGTCCGTTCGCATGGCCTGCTGTTGATGTCACACAGTCCTTCCTTCGGGATGAAGTAAGCTTTTGGCGGCGCATCTGTCTCTATCGAGCAGGACGGACCTTCAAACCCCTTCTGACAGACACACTGTCCCTTCTCACAGACGCCTCTGCCACTGCAGTTATTTGGACAGGAGACAGTTTCAAAGAAGAAGGAAGGTGGTTCGAGTGTCACGTTGTTGTTGCTCGTCCAACATGTCAGGTTTTTGTACAGGGCGTCAGAGCACCGTGCTTCCAACGAGGAGACTACTGTCTGTACAAATGTAGTATCGCCGGTAGCCTGTGAACAAAAAATAGTGCATGTATTAGTAACTGCGAAATTTAACTTCGTTATGAAAAGTACAACTATGTTTTGATGACAATTGCAACTCCAAATATGACAAAAGTGTCGCGTTCAACATAAAAACGACATCCACAATTTTGACCCCATGTCTGTATCATTGAATCGAAATATGAAGGATTTCGCGGAGTATATGCACCTCACCTGGATGTCGACGACGCATGAATCTACCACCGATGATGTGTCGATGGAGTCTCCAAGGATTGACGAACACAATTGTCCAGATGGAGAATTTACCAGGTTGTTCTCGCAGTACGCCCTGGCCTCAGCTTCTGTCATCCCATTAGGGGCCGGCCAGGTGGGGGGCGTCTGAAATTAAACAAAAATTATTTATACACTAGTTGATGGCCTTAATCATTACACGACAAGCTCGAGCTCAGTCTGGAGAACAAAACACTTTTCTAACATCATTTGGAAATATCATTAACCAATAAGCAGTAAGAATCACCCTTGTTCTGGCCCATACAAAACTTACAACGGGGCTGGAAGGTGCGCTGTCGTCAAATCCGAACATGTCGTCATCGTAAACGTCATCGTTGTAGCTGGTGTCCCGTCTCCTGCGCGCGCTGTTGTTCTCAATGGGCTGAATGCCTCGACTCTTCAGTTCCGCAGCTTTACAGTCATAGGCAGGGCTTATCTTACAGTGAATATTCTGTCCACGACCATCCGTTACACAAGAACAGTAGCGGCGCTCTATTTCAGACGCCGGTAACGGATGAACATTGCCATAGAAGATGTTGTTCGCGTCATCAACTCTGTAAAATCAAACAGAAAATAGTGGTTAGAGACTGTCAAATGTAAGTATCATATGCCGATGAAAACATGCACATGTATATATAAAATCTTGACTTCGAAACGACACTTACCTCCAGCTGTTAACGAATGCACTATTGCCACTTGTCATTACTTGGTTGTGATGTATGGTAGAAACCGTTGACAGATCCCTGTGAAGACCGTCATTTGTTCTGTCCCCGTCAAATGTTCCACACAACCCCAGAGTGTTGCCTTTGTCGTCGGCTGAAGGACGGATAGCGATGTCCATGTACGGATTGACACCGTCGCCCTTCACCTGTATGTCTATGAGTGATCCCGTAGGTAGGAAGACCTGTAGATGGTTGTTAAAGTGTCTGTTATTTCACATGGAATAACACAAGAATGTGTCTTATCAAAAGAACAGGGATGCTGCGTTATTTCATATTTTCATTTCAGTGATTTTGTGTTCAGTAATACTAATACGAGTATCATCCACGATGTAACGCAAGGATTCGTCAGGAGCATCAACATCGTGAAGGCACAGACCGTATAGATGAAATCTCATGATAAGTGCGATATATCAAACTAGTTTGTGACAAAATAACCTTACAGAAATTCTTACATAAAAACGGGAATTTCTGTCTTTGTAGAAATTGATATCTTCCCCCACGGGGCCATAATGATCAATTCTTGAGGCCAGAAATCCGTCATATACAGTCCAGGAGCCCGACGGAAAGTTGTACCGCTGGATACCTCCTGCACACTTGTTGAGAATGAGTGTTTCATTTCCAGATCTAACAGCGACACCACAATTGCAGGCAACATTACCGCGGAAGCACATTCTCGTCCGGGTCTGAACCTGAAATACAGTCACATTCTTACAACGTTACACCTGTACATTTTTACATGTATCAGTACCGTAGCAGGCAGTCATCAGAAACCATACATTTAACGCGCACCAAGTGTAGCACTCTACTGTCAGCTGCCTTACAGCCAGACATAAATCACATCTAACATCACCAACAAATAAGAGACCACCCCTTACACGCCCCCACACGTGTCATGAGGCCTCTAAATGAAACGCAAACTGAAGAAGAAGAATTCTTGTAACTAGCAAAACGTTTAACCATATACTAACTCCACTGTGCCAAGGACTTCCTCCTAGCTTTCGTGGCAAAATCCCTAATAAGATGACCCCACTTTAATTTCAATGCCATGATAATATAACAGTACTAGTGACGTAGCAAGTTTACGACAAATTGTTCCCCGATGTAAACTGTCTCTAGTTCCCGTTGGTTTCTGTGAGAGTGAGAGCATGCTGTGCATATATACATAGCGAAGAAGGCCGTTCCCTTAGATTCAAAAGTCTGAAATAATGAACACAGACACACCTCAATAGGGAGATCCCGGTGCTTGTACAAAGTGAATGTTTGCTGCTCGTACACGTGATAGAACCTGATTGATGATTGCCAAGATAACTGTTAGTAGTTCCTTCTACGTGACTCGATGACTAGGGGCAGGTCAATGTTTTAAATGTTTTCAATTTTGAAATGCGTCAATCTAAATGTACAAGACAGTTGCAACAATCACGTTTTTAAATTTTTCTAAAGAACATTTGTGTAAATGGGTAAAATCAACCACACACACACGCACGCACGCACGCACACACACACACGCACGCACACACACACGCACGCACGCACACACACACACACGCACGCACAAGCACGCACGCACGCACACACACACACACATACACACACGCACACGCACACGCACACACACACACACACACACACACACACACACACACACACACACACACCATACACATGTAACATTGTTTTCTACTTACCGGCCATCAAATGTTGTATAATGTGGATCGCCCTGCAGTTGACGTGTGTATGTAACATTGTTTTCTACTTACCGGCCATCAAATGTTGTATAATGTGGATCGCCAGTTGACGTGTGTGTGTAACATTGTTTTCTACTTACCGGCCATCAAATGTTGTATAATGTGGATCGCCAGTTGACGTGCATGTCACATCTCCTATCGAGTCTTTGTCCTGAGAGAGAATCTAAGAACATAGTGCGTTTTATCAAGATGTATGTAAGGGTGCTTTTGCTTTGTTTGCAACCTTAATGTAACGTCCAGTACACTATATGCAGACATCTTTCCGTCGACCGACTATAGCCAAACACATAAACAGACAACTAAATTGTCTAGATACACAATGATGACACCTGACCGACGTTGGAGGGCCTAACCAACCAATCAAATCACCTCATACCTTTGATGTTAACGTTTACGACAAGATTCGTGTTTCGTCGGTGAAGGTTAGACATCCAGGTACTAAGTAATACGATACACCAAAAAAATTTACTCAAGCAACTGGATATGATTTTCCAAAATCACGTCCACTTGCTTGAGTAACTGCTTGCTTGGAATAGAGAAAGAATACAAGATATATGCCTCATATAAATGTTGCTTCTTTGGCTTTTTGGTTGGTCTACAAAACGTTTTTAAACTTACTTCTACATCCTCAAGCTGGTAGCCATCCCACAAGTCTGATACCCCTGCCGCGAAAGGACCAAACTTGACCCTCATGTACCCCAGGCCATCGACCTGGGAGTCACGAACAGCGATCACGGGGATGTCTATGATGCCGTTAACGTTCCAGTCATCCACGCCGTATAGGAACGAGCACGTGTTACCGCTGTCTGTTACCGCATTACCGTCTGTTACCACCTGAGGCACTTCCCCTCCGTGGCAAACACGATGACTTTCCTCCTCGAAGTTTACTGGTATTGAAACAGTGCAGTAGGGTCCCAAGGAACTGCAATCAAGCGGCAGTGTCGGTTGGAGCTGTATGCTGTTTGTTGGGCCATCCTCGTCAACGGTGAAGACTTTTTTCAGGACCTATATCAGGCAAGAGTAAGAGAATACATTGCGATAAGCATGATCCTTAAAAAAAATCGAATAAAAGAGGCACAGGACCATCATAACTAAAAACAGAAAGTTTCCAGAAATTAGGGATTTAACGGAGGATCGAACAGTGTAGTACTTATAAATAGAGTTCCACGACCTCATACTTTCCCCGAATACTGTTAACCTATATGATTGAGAAATCATAAATCTTTCATTGTGTCTTTATGCTAATAAGATCATAGACGGTAGGCTACCGAGTTTTTGTGGAAATATATATTGTTTTTTAAACCATTGAAAACTATTTTACAACTTGATTGTTTTGCGTATCTTATAACATACACTGTTTTCCCTCTCACGGTCCGTTGCCATCACAATACACAGGCAAAGATTCCCGAGAATCGTACACTGAACACAAACAACATGATCAAGTTGCCTGCTTCTGACAGGTGCCTGCTGGTACAGGTCTGACTGTATCTGCCGATGTTCCTCTTGTTCACAATTACATATGTCATAAGTGTGATTAGTCCTATCATGGAAGGTAGCAGATTTATAGTATTTCCTCATTAATAATACAAATTATCTTCTGATTTGCATAATTGTAGGCATGCTATTTGATTATTTTATTATTTACAAGTAAGTAGTAAGTATTTGATTATGTCAAGCATCACTTAAGCTACCTACATACCAAACATCACGACGATCCGTCATCCGGTTCTTGAGTCATCCGTCTTCAAAAAGCCCCTGCAGTTCCAGAACAACCTTCTAGGGGCCCCAAACTCACTTCTTCCCTTGCCCAAGAGCTAGCCACCGTCCAGAATTCGTGACCTTAGGCAGATCGCTAGATCGAAACCTGACGTTATACTGCACTACCATAAGAAGCTGTCAGGGGGCCCAAAATCTAATTTCGAGCCCTACCAAATATGAAAATAATTCATCTAAGCCTTCTCGAGTTATGCTGTTGACAGACACACAGACACACACACACACACACACGAACAAACAAGCAAACAAACAAACAAACAAGAGCTCCACGACCTCATACCTTCGCCAAATGATGTTAACCCTTGCGATTATACAATTGTAATGATTGATTTTGTAAATAAGAGCCTCATTTGCATGGATTATATCAGTTGATCATATTCTCCACCCAATGACAGCCTTATTTTAACAAAAAGGCTATTATAGCTCTTCCTCAAAAATTATGCAGATGAGGTCATGATTTGAATAAATTATGTTTATTGATGTTCACCTTCACTTAACTTCCAAATGTGGCAAGTATGAAATTCCTAGCAGTTACAAGTATGGAATTATAAAAAGTTGCCATTAATTATGCAAATTAGGTCCTCATTTACATAATCCTCATTTATATAATCTATATATGTTTTTTCTCGTTCTCAAGTAGATGTCACAAGTGTTTCATAGTTCTATTATCGAGCAAAGCAGATTTATAGAATGTCCTCATTAATTATGCAAATTAGCTTCTGATTTGCATTATTGTCATCTGTCATCTACCTACATACCGAAAATCACGACAATCCGTCAACCGGTTCTTGAGTTATCCTCCTTCGAAAATTTTTCAACAAATGCTCCTGCAGTTCCAGAACAAGGCGCTAGGGGACCCAAACTTATGTCACTTCTTCCCTATCCCAAGAGCTATCTGCCATCCAAAATTCGTGACCCTAGCATGTCCTGATCACGAGATATCAAAACCGGAAGTTCCGCTGCAGTACCTGGGAAAGCCACCAGGGGGCCCAAAATCTAATTATTTCTAGGTCTCATAAAGACCTACCCACCTACCAAGTTTCATTCCAATCCATCCACTGCTTCTTGAGTTATCTTGCTAAACCACACACACACACACA